AAATAACTGTCTCTGAGTTTCCCCTCATCTCCTATATTTCACAGGATACTCACCATTGCCTTTGAGGAACCATTCAAGATAAGTTCCCAGTGATTCTGGATTCTTCCCAAGGTTTGACTTATCCAAGAAAAAGTAACTAGAAACAAGAACATCTCTGGGATTTCTGATGAGATAGATCACCTTAAATGGAAAAAAAATGTAAATGAAGGTCAGTAGTCATTCTCCAACATTTAGCCAGCATAATTTACATGAAATGACAGTCAAATATGCAAAGGTTTCTAAAACCATTTATTATTTTTATTTGGACAAATATATACCCAAGTGAAAAAAACTATACTCATAATTCCCATTTTCTAATTTTATTTATTTTGTAAAAGTGGAACAGAAAGATGTCTAGTTCATTTATAGTGTAAAAAAACAAAAAAATGCAAACCAGGCTGATTTGACAGTTGTAAAGATCACAATAAAAATTGGTTATCCAAAATCAAATGCCCAGCCCTTAAAATATACATACAAGTAACATTGTACTGACTGAGTAGTTTGTAATTAATTATTTCAGAATATATAGTTTTATTTAAGAATATATTGATTACTTATTTATTTAGGAATATATATTATGTATCTATAAGAAACATGCAAGCCGGGTGATGGTGGCGCACGCCTTTAATCCCAGCACTTGGGAGGCAGAGGCAGGCAGATTTCTGAGTTTGAGATGGATTTCTGAGTTTGAGGCCAGCCTGGTCTACAAAGTGAGTTCCAGGACAGCCCAGGCTATACAGAGAAACCCTGTCTCGAAAAAAACCAAAAAAAAAAAAAAAAAAAAAAACGAAAAAAGAAACATGTAGATAAATCTATATAAGAATATATACCTGAGGGCTAGCAAGATGGCGGCGCTCAGGAGCCGGTGAAGTGAGAGGACGCTGGGATCCTAGGGACTGCTGCACCAGTGCGTTATGGCCGCGTCCCCGCACACTATTTCCTCGAGCCTCCTCACAGGCTCAGTAGGAGGATGTGTGTGGTATTTAGAGAGAAGAGCTATACAGGGGTTGCCACACAGGGTCACACATCTGTTCAGGAATGTCAATAATCAGTGGGTCACGGTCCAGCACTTGAGTTTCCTCAAGCGCATGTATGTCACACAGCTGCACAGGGGCCTTAGCCAGCAAGTCAAACCAAAGCCAGAGCCACCGGCTTCTCCTTTCCTTGAACACACCTCTTCAGGGCAGGCTAGAGCAGGAGTGGATGATCTGCCATCTTTCCTAGCACCTAGTCTGCCTCTGTCTCCCAAAAGCCAGATGAGGAATTGGTGGAGCTGGAGACGACCTCCATAGTGGACCATTCCCTTGATATAGCCAAAGAGAAAAAGGAAGAAAGGCAGTGGAAAGAGATGAAGCTTCACACTGACGATCTGCCTGGCATTTTGGCCCGGCTGTCCAAGATCAAACTCACAGCTCTTGTGGTAACCACCACTTCAGCAGGCTTCGCACTGGCTCCAGGCCCTTTCGACTGGTCCTGCTTCCTGCTTACATCCTTTGGAACTGGTCTTGCATCCTGTGCTACCAACTCCATAAATCAGTTTTTTGAGGTGCCATTTGACTCAACCATGAGTAGAACAAAGAACAGGCCTCTGGTTCGCGGACAGATAAGCCCATTGCTAGCTGTGTCTTTTGCCACCTGTTGTCCTGTGCCAGGAGTGGCCCTTCTGACCTGGGGAGTGAACCCACTCACAGGGGCCTTGGGGGCCTTCAACATTTTCCTGTATACCTGTTGTTACACATCACTGAAGAGGATTAGCATCACCAATACCTGGGTTGGAGATGTGGTGGGAGTCATTCCTCCTGTCATGGGCTGGACGGCCGCCACTGGAAGCCTTGATGCTGGAGCGCTTCTTCTGGGAGGGATCCTCTACTCCTGGCAGTTCCCCCACTTCAGTGCCCTGAGCTGGGGCCTCCATGAAGACTACTCCCGAGGAGGCTACTGCATGATGTCCATCACCCACCCAGCCCTCTGCCGGCGGGTGGCACTGCGCCACTGCCTGGCCCTGATTGCTCTGTCAACTGCTGCCCCTGTCTTGGACATCACCATGTGGGTCTTCCCTGTCATCTCCCTCCCCATCAACCTGTACATTTCCTACCTCGGCTTGCACTTCTATGTGGACGCAGACCGCAGGAGCTCAAGGAAACTCTGCTGCTGCTGCTGCTCATGCTCACCTTTAAGCAGCGGCCTGGCCAGGAGGGGGACAAGGGAGAGGCTCCAAGCTGAAAGCTAGCCACTCTGTGGGGAACACGAGAGCAGACACCAGACATGTACAGCACTGCCCTGGGCCAGCAGGAAGCGGATTTTGGTGAATCTGGCAAAAGGAGAATTGCTGGTGGCAGATCATTTGGTGCTGTGTTGTCACTTACAGTCCTTTTAATGTTAATATCCAACTTGCTTTCCAAATGAGAAAGGGACTAGCAGACAGGGTCAGTACAAAAAAAAAGGAGTATTTCTTCTCCTTGAAGGTCTTTATGCATCTTTCCCTCCAGCCCTGTGTTCTCTCACCACGTGATGTACATCCTCCTCCCCCATCCCCATCCCAGCCCCCGACACACACACACACACACACACACACACACACACACACACACACACACTCACACTCACCACCTGGAGGCCACCGTGGTCATTGCTCAAACAGGCAAGTGCTTGTGACTCTAGTTTCACATCCTGAAACTCCCACACACTGCCTTAGAAGAATGTATACTGTGGCTGCAGCACCCCTTGTCTGCCAGGGAGATGGGGCCTCACTAGCTTTCTCTACCCCAGCAGTGTTCTCAACCGCATATTCCCTCAAATAACACAACACCCAGCTTGGACTACTCACTGGGAATGAGGATTCCAAAAGGTTGCCTGCAGAATCCCAGGCTGCACTGGCAGCACACACCATCACTTTCAGTCTCACCCCATACCAGGACTTCAGAAACCCCAGGAAACACACCGCGTGTTCGTCATTCTCTCAGGCATGGTCTGAGCATTTCTTTTTGGAAGGGCGTCCCTCAGCATAATCCAAGAGAGAGGGTGAACTCAGCAGCCCTTTTGTGCCCACTTATCCCTTTCATGCAAACCACATTTCCACACTGCTGCCTCCTGAGTCCAGAAGTTGGCCTCTGTGCCCAGTGGTGTTCAGAGAAGGCCAGCCGGCCTCCTAGTGTCCATGGGTCCAGTTCTGGGACTTCATGGTCTCTGATAACAAAATGCAGGTACCTCTTCAGGCTGTTGTATACTCCCCCAGGTCCACAGAGAGGAATGTTGCCTTAAAACTGTGGAGCTTGCAGTGTTTGAGTTCCTTGATTTCCCGGGATGCTGTGTCCTGTCGGGATTCCCTCAAGGGGTTTAAGCCACGTGAAAAACTGTTCTTGAATGTGGACTGTTCTCTCAAAATGTGGAAGGAAGGCTTGAGCTGTGGCCCAAAGGAAGAGCACTTACTTAGCTCTGGGCTCAGGGTTTGAACTCAAGCACCACATGGAAGGGGGAGGGGGACGGGATGGTGTCTAGAGTGCCTGCAGACAGGGGCCTGGTACCTCTCTCTACCTGTTGTGACATTCCCTCCTGGCTGCGTCCTGTAGGGACAGGCAATGGGGTTGTGTGCAAAGGGCATCCAGGACTTGTTGCAGCTTTTAAATCTGTAAAGTGTGTTGATTTTCCTCCTCCTGCAATAAAACAGTTAAAAACAGGAAAAAAAAGAAGAATATATACCTGATACTACTTAACTATAAATACTAAAAGACAAGTAAGCCCAAATAACAAAGGAAGTCCATAACTAACAAAATTAAAAAGACAGATAAAATTCTCAAGTACAAACTTAAATAGAAGATTGTCAAAATTTAACCATGCATAGGAATGAACATTCAAAACAGGCAAGAAGATGCAAAAAAAACAGACCAAGTTCAAGCATAACACAGAAAGAGTTGCTTCTATTTACTTGCTTTTCCTAGGTTACAGCTTTCCCACACAGTAAGACTGGTCTGTATGTACATGAGTATGCAAACGGTGACATACAAGTCGTACTGGGGTTGTTCCTAAGGTGTGAACTCTCAATTCTGAACACCTATGCTCCAAATACAAGGGCACCTACGTACATAAAAGAAACTTTACTAAAGCTCAAAACACACATTGCACCTCACACAATAATAGTAAGGGATTTCAACACTGCACTCTCAGCAATGGAAAGATCATGGAAACAGAAAATAAACAGAGACACTTTGAAATTAACAGAAGTTATGAACCAAATGGACTTAACAGATATCTGTAGAACATTTCATCCTAAAACAAAAGAATATACCTTTTTCTCAGCACTTCATGGTACCTTCTCCAAAATACACCATATAATTGGTCACAAAACAGGCCTCTACAGATACAAAAAGATTGAAATAATCTTTTCATCTTATCAGATCACCACGGACTAAGGCTGGTCTTTAATAATGACAAAACTAATGGAAAACCCACATGCACATGGAAACTGAACAACTCTCTACTCAATGATGACTTGGTAAAGGAAGAAATAAAGAAAGAAATTAAAGACTTTTTAGAATTTAATGAAAATGAGGACATATCATACCAAAACTTGTGGGACGCCATAAAGACAGTGCTAAGAGGAAAACTCATAGCTCTAAGTGTCCACAAAAAGAAACTGGAGAGAGCATACACTAACAACTTGACAGCACAACTAAAAGCTCTAGAACGAAAAGAAGCAAATACACCCAAGAGGAGTAGAAGGCAGGAAATAATCAAACTCAGGGCTGGAATCAACCAAATAGAAACAGAAAGAATAATACAAAATATCAATAAAACCAGGAGCTGGTTCTTTGAGAAAATCAACAAGATAGATAAACCCTTAGCCAGATTAACCAGAGGACACAGAGACAGTATTCAAATTAATAAAATCAGAACTGAAAAGGGAGACATAAAAACAGAAACTGAAGAAATTTAAAAAAGTCATTAGATCCTACTACAAAGGCCTATACTCAACAAAACTGGAAAACCTGGATGAAATGGACTACTTACTAGTCAGATACCAGGAACCAAAGTTAAATCAGTAGCAGATAAACCATATAAACAGTCCCATAACCCCTAAGGAAATAGCAGCAGTCATTAAAAGTCTCCCCACCAAAAAAAGTCCAGGACCAGATGGTTTTAGTGCAGAATACTGTCAGACCTGCAAGGCAGATCTAATACCAATGCTCTTCAAACTATTTCACAAAACAGAAACAGAAAGAACACTACCCAATTCATTCTATGAAGCTACAATTACACTCATACCCAAACCTCACAAAGACCCAACAAAGAAAGAGAACTTCAGACCAATCTCCCTTATGAACATCGATGCAAAAATACTCAATAAAATTCTAGCAAACCAAATCAAAGAACACATCAAAACAATCATCCATCATGATCAAGCAGGCTTTTTTCCAGGAATGCAGGGATGGTTCAATATTCGGAAATCCATCAATGTAATCTACTATATAAACAAACTCAAAGAAAAAAACTACATGATCATCTCACTAGATGCTGAGAAAGCATTTGATAAAATTCAACATCCTTTCATAGTAAAAGCCTTGGAAGGATCAATAATTCAAGACCCATACCTAAACATAATAAAAGCAATTTACAGCAAACAAGTAGCCAACATCAAACTAAATATAGAGAAACTTGAAGCAATCCCACTAAGATCAGGGACTAGACAAGGCTGCCCACTCTCCCCCTACCTATTCAATATAGTACTGGAAGTCCTAGCCAGAGCAATTAGACAACAAAAAGAAGTCAAAGGGATACGAATAGGACGGGAAGAAGTCAAAATATCACTAGTTGCTGATGATATGATAGTATACTTAAGTGACCCCAAAATTTCCACCAGAGAACTCCTAAACCTGATAAACAACTTCATCAAAGAGGCTGGTTATAAAATCAACTCAAACAAATCAGTAGCCTTCCTCTACGTGAAAAATAAACAGGCTGAAAAAGAAATTAGGGAAATGACACCCTTCGCAGTAGTCACAAATAATATAAAATACCTTGGTGTGAATCTAACCAAGCAAGTGAAAGATCTGTATGACAAGAACTTCAAGTCCCTGAAGAAAGAAATCAAAGAAGATCTCAGAAGATGGAAAGATCTCCCATGCTCATGGATTGGCAGGATTAATATAATAAAAATGGCCATCTTGCCAAAAGCAATCTATAAATTCAATGTAATTCCCACTAAAACCCCAACTCAATTCTTCACAGGGTTAGAAAAGGAAATTGTCAAATTCATTTGGAATAACAAAAAACCCAGGATAGTGAAAACTATTCTCAATAATAAACGAACTTCTGGAGGAATCACAGTCCCCGACTTCAAGCTGTGCTACAGAGCAATAGTGATTAAAAACTACCTGGTATTGGTACAGAGACAGGCAGGAAGATCAATGGAATAGAATTGAAGACCCAGAAATGAATCCACACTCCTATGGTCACTTGATCTTTGACAAAGGAGCTAAAACTGTCCAGTGGAAAAAGGACAGCATTTTCAACAAATGGTGCTGGTTCAACTGGAGAACAACATGTAGAAGAATGCAAATTGATCCATTCTTATCTCCTTGTACAAAGCTGAAGTCTAAATGGATAAAGGACCTCCACATGAAACCAGATACACTGAAACTAATAGAAGTGAAGGTGGGGAAGAGCCTTGAATACTTGGGCACAGGGGAAAAGTTCCTGAACAGAACACCAATGGCATATGCTCTAAGATCAAGAATTGACAAATGGGACTTCATAAAACTGCGAAGTTTCTGTAAGGCAAAGGACACTGTCAATAGGGAAAACGACAACCAACAAATTGGAAAAAGATCTTTACCAATCCTATGTCTGATAGAGGGCTAATATCCAATATATACAAATAACTCAAGAAATTAGACTCCAGACAACCAAATAACCCTATTTAAAAATGGGGTATAGACCATAGCAAAGAATTTTCAACTGAAGAAACTCGAAAGGCTGAGAAGCACCTAAAGAAATGTTCAGTATCCTTAGTTATCAGGGAAATGCAAAACAAAACAACTCTGAGAATCCATCTCACACCAGTCAGAATGGTTAAGATTAAAAACTCAGGTGATAGTAGATGCTGGCAAGGGTGTGGAGAAAGTGGAGTTCTCCTCCATTGTTGGGAGGATTGCAAGATGGTGCAACCACTTTGGAAATAAGTCTGGCGGCTCCTCAGAAAATTGGACATAGCATTATCTGAGGAT